CGCAGCCTGTGATGGCTCTGTCAGGCTTGCTCCTGGCAACATTTTGAAGTTATTGCTCATAATGATGCCAAGCAGAATGTAACTTGGAGCTGTAAATATGATCCAAAGGGACCTTTTTTTTTTTTTTCACTGTTTTGCCTGTAGTACCCCCTCATGTCCAGCTGGTGTCCCCATGGCTCCACAGCAGAGGCAGTGCGGAGGGAGGTTAAAGGCACTGTAGCACTCCATTTGGAAGCTGCATAATTAGTCTAATGTAGGACCAGCTACACTAATCCTAATCTTAACCATTATGGAATAAATGGGGAAATTGGTCTTGGATCAGTGAGAAATTAGGCTCTCTGCACCAGCACAAACTACAGAACTCATGTAATTTCTCTCTGTGAATTCAGACGTGTCTCTGAGTCAGGCCTTTCAGCTCCATATTGTGGCATCTTCTTGTCGTGTATGTTTCAGGTTTATTTATAGTGTGCTTACATACAGAATACTGATCGTGCTTGTGCACATGCACGCCATGTATGCGGTTGATTTGTGTACCCGAGACTTCTGAGAGAATCTTCTGTTGTATGTCAGATGTCACAGGCACTGCTCACTCTGAGGGACTAAAGGTGCATACACAAACTTTGTGCACTTTTAGGGGTAGGAGTCTGTAGACGCCTCACGGTTCAGTTCATAAATTTAGAAGTCAGTCTTAGAAGTTGGTTGCATTTTCAGCTTCTCACGATCCGAGTGATCTCAAACACATTCAGTGATGTTGAGGTCTGGACTCTTTTTTTTTGTTTCATTTAGTTTTTTTTCTGTAGCGGTGTATTGACAGCTACACGTCGTTTCGGACCAATAGTACTGAGTTGTCTTCTCACAGTGGAAGAATGAACAGGAACATTTGTTAATTTTTTTCAAATCTAAAGCAAGAGTGGAGCTTGATTTTCTCCTCTCTCTTAAAGATGAAAGCTTTAAGTACCGTTTATCTGATGGTGGCAAATTTGGTGCTCTACCAAGTCTTGCAAGGTTGCTACGAGTCCCATGTAAGTCCCTATAAGTTTTAATAATTTTTTGCACTCCTATTTTGGAAACTCCTTTTTTTTATCATTATTTTCTTTTGACTTTCCTGTGCAAGTCGATTATCATGTCTAATCTCAGAAATATCTCCTGAAACATGAATATTTTGTACAGAATGGCCATGTTGGCTGGAAATTAAACATATTGCTGCTGTCGGAAGAAAACCTTGTATCTCCATTTTTGTTGTTTTTAAGTTTTTGGCATAATTTGAAAATGCCTGTTGCCATTTACATAGTGTGTAAATTTCGTGAAAAATGGACCAAAAGAAAAAACCCAAAATGACTCGGAAAAAAAAGTCTGGTTCCATTGACTTACATTAAGAGTAAAGTAGTTTTTTCCTTTTCCTGTAAAGTTGTCATTTTGGAGTTTTCTTCCAACAACAACGATATGAAAGGTGGTCTCTGATGTCATTTGTATAAAGTATAGCAGATATTATAACTTATTATATATAGTGTAGCTCATAGTGTTTGTTTTTCACATGATATGTTGGGTACTGATGAAATGTTTCATTAAGGAGAAAAGACCAAAAAAGCCAGGCTTTGCTACAGTATGCTTCTTTATAATGTGTCTGGGTACGTGAGAGTTTATGAAACTCAGAGCCTACATTTATTATGATGTTCTGTGAATTGATTCAGAATCTTTCAAGTGAGAATTGTAATGCATCTAAAAATTGATTCGTTTTTACACCTCTAGCGTTTACGTTTTGGGGGCCTGAGGGGGGGCAGTTATGAGCCATTTCCACTATCATACACCACGACCTAAAACATCTCTAAACTCATAACGGCTGCTTTGGTGTTGTTACGCATACACACACGCATGCACGTACGCGCACTCACACACTCGCTATTTCCATGTCATCCCTCTGACCTCAAAAATAATAATTAAAACGTGTAATTAACGCTAACCCAGATAGCGCCTAATTATCAGCACTTAGCTTCCGAAAAGACGCGCTTGCGCATCCCTTTTCACCCATCCCTCTCTCCTCTGTTTCTCTCCTCTGTCCAAATTTAGATGGAGGGAGACTCATTAGAATGCTGCTAAGTTCGTGGCCCTATCGCCGTAGCAACGGGAGAACTGCTAAATTGGAGAGAGAGCGAAATCCCACAGAAAGGCGATGGCCGCCCCGCACCATAATTAGGGTTAGCTGTAGCCGCCATTGTTAACATCATGCCTTAATTTGAGGAGATGGCTCTCTCCCTGACCCCTCTTTTTTTTCATCGCTCTATTTCTCACTCTGTCTGCCTCATGCACTCGATTGCCCGCCACCTTCCTCTCTCTCCCTTGGTTATTCTCATTCTCTCTCTCTCTCTCTCTCTCTCTCTCTCTCTCTCTTTTTTGCTATATATTTCTTCACTCTCCGTGCCTCTCCCATTGTTCCTTTATTTCCCTTTTGTGCTCACTAAGGAGGGAGTCCCTTACTCAATCTTCTCCACTATTTCTGGACAGAATATTCTAGAAATAGTGCAAGGTCATCATTATAATTAAGAGGCAGATGAAATGTACAAATGATCCGATCTCTCTCTCTCTCTCTCTCTCTCTCTCTCTCTCTCTCTCTCTCTCTCACTCTCACTCTCTGTCTCTGTGTGTCTCAGTGTCTCTCACCCACTTTCCTTTGTATGTGTATCCATTGGTCTCTCTCCTTTTGCTCTCTTGCACTCTTTTTTCTTTCTTTCTCACTCCTCCTTTCTATCACTTTCTTTCCCCTCCATCTCTCTCTCCCTTTCTCTCTCTCTCTCCCACTCTGTCTATTGCACTCTTTTCTTTCCCTTTTTGTTTCTTATCTCAGTCTCTTCTCTCTCCCTCCATCTGTCTATTCCCCCTGTTTCTCTCTCGCTTTTTTTACTCTCACCCACTCGGTTCCCCCTTCATCTAATTCTTTCTCTCTGACACACATGCATTTCTCTCTCTCTCTCTCTCTCTCTCTCCTCTCTCTCTCTCTCTCTCTCTCTCTCTCTCTCTCTGACACACATGCCTTCTCTCTCTCTCTCTCTCTCACCCTCTCTCACCCCCTCCCCTTTTCTGTGTATCTATTGGTCGCTCTCCTTTTGCTCTCTCAAACTCATTCTTTCTTTTTCTTTCTATTTCCCTCCTTCTTCTTATCACTCTGTCTTTTTCCTCTCTTTCTCCCACTCTGTCTATTGCTCTCTCTCTTTTTTTTCTCTTTTTGTTTCTTATCTCAATCCTTCTTATCCATCCCAGTCTATTCCCACCATCTCTCTCTATCCTTTCTCCCCTATATCTTTTTTTTTCACCTGGCACACATGCTTTCTCTTTCTCTCTGTCTCTCTCTCCCTCCATCTGTCTATTCCCTCTCTTTCTCTCACGCTTTGTCACTCTCGCCCACTCTGTTCCCCCCTTCATCCAGTTCTTTCTCTCTCTTTGTCTTTCTCCCTCTTCTTTCTTTCTTTCTTCCTTTTTCTCTTTCTGTTTTTCTTATCACTGTGTATTCTGTCCCTATCCCCCTATCCCCTATCTCTCTCTCTCTCTCTCTCTCTCTCTCTCTCTCTCTCTCTCTCTCTCTCTCTGAAGATTAAAATGTGCTCCTGTGTATTTGGTGTGGAGCTGTCTTGGAGGTTGGAGATTTTCTGTGGTATGGTTGATGTTGGAGTGGGAGAAGGGCAGCGCTGCTGTTGTCGAGAGGCTAACCGCGTGGTTAGATCTGAGACTGTGGCTAGGCCTCAGAGCGCACTGGTAGTGGCTTTTGCTCTTCTGCTAGTTTGAAGCTTACAGAGAAAGAGAGATGGAGAGAAAGAGAGCAAACACCCTCTCCCTGAGCAAGCAGGCCCTGCCCCCCCATCCCTCTGAATCACCACACTATAAATATGTGAGAGGTTGGTTTACAGGCTGGGGACTCGTATTAGCATTCGGACCTGCTCCATACCTGTGTGTGTGTTTGTGTGTGTGTGTGTGTTTGTCTATGTCTATACATACATGCACAAACACCTATAGAGCGAGTGTGTGAGTGTGTGGTCTCACTGTGTCACTCTTTTAGCAGGTTGCTGGGGGGGGGCAGGGGCTGCTGTGAAGTAGAAGCTTCAACTTTAGCAGTAATGTGTGTTTTGTGTGAGTGGGTATTTGAGTGGTTGGTGGGGTGTAGTGGGTAACAAGCAGCAGACTCGGATTTGTTTTGCCCTCCTGGACAATCACACCACACTACACCTATACAAGTGCACAGACAAGACTCCTAACTCTGTGCTGACCTCCCTCTGTACCATGATTTTAAAAACACAGTGAGTCGTTCTGGATAAGAGCATCTGCTGAATGTATCAGTGTAAATGAATTTGTGTCTGTTTTAATGCTTTTAGTGTACTGAAACTCTAAATTCTCTCTCGCTCTCTCTTTCTCTCTCTCTCTCTCTCTCTCTTCCTCTTTCTCTCTCGCTTCTTTGCTCTTTCCTTCTCTCACTTGTTTCCTTTCTCTCTGTATCACTCCTTTTTGTTTCTCTCCCTTTTTCTCTTTCGTTCACTCGTTCCTTTGCTCTCCCCTTTCTCGTGCTTTATCCCTCTTCCATTTTTTCATTCTCTTTCTCTCCCTCCCACTTCTTCTTTCTTTTAAATTATTTCTCTCATTCTTTTTCTTTCTTTCTCTTCCTCTCATTTTCTGTCTCTCACCCCTTTGCTTTTTTCCTTCTGTCTCACCCTCTTATTCCCTTTCTCTCTCTCTTTCTCACTCCTTTTGTTTCTCTCCCCTTTTCTCTCTTGTTCTCTGTTACTCTTGCTCTCCCCTTCTCTCTCTCTCCCTCTTTCCCTCTACCTCACTCCCTTTCTTTTCCATTTTTTCATTCTCTCTCTCTGTTTCTTTCATCTCTCTATACCTTCAACATTCTCTCCTTCTTTCTTTTAAATTCCTTTCAATTCTTTGTCTCATTCTTTTTCATTCATTTCATCTCTCTCTCTCTCTCTCTCTCTCTCTCTCTCTCTCTCTCTCTCTCTCTCTCTCTCTAGGAGATGTACTCTAAAGGTCTGGTTCCTCTCTCAGCTGTGAGGCTGGTGCGATCTGTAGGAGACAATAAGCTGGAGGTGGTCACTTCACAAAGAACATTTGTGTTTCGAGCAGAGAAAGAAGGTAAAATTCTGTATTTTCTTCTCCTCTATCCCTCTCTCGTCCTCACTCACTGTGGGTCTTGGAGTTTTACATTTGAAAGTAGAAAGTAGTTTCTTTAAAACCTATAAAGCTTTAAAATGATTTGTTTTAACTGGAGCACTTCTTAGGAGGAGCATCTATTCTACATTATTATAATCCACTGTACATTCAGTTCAGCTGCACTGACTCTGGAAACACTTTCAGGTTGGTGCACTGATGTAGTTTTACACCCCTACCACACCCTTTTTCTCCTCCTTTCTCTTTTCTTTTTCCTTCACCTCCTCTTCTTCCAGAGGAGGCAGGCCTCACTCCCTGCACTTCCTCTCGTAAACTCAAGGTCTTCTGAAGGACGTCCTCACTCACTCTTCATCTGAGGTCCTTCTGTGGAGTAATGGAAATCATTCCACACAGGCTGTATTTTGATGTCACAAATATTCAAGTAATAAAACTCAAACTGTGCAGAAGAGCTGTGTTTTAATATGAGTCGTGGTTTAATATGAGTCTGGGTGCAGGAATAATTCTAAGGATCAGGAAAAAGTTTAATAGATGACAGATAAAAGAATCCATGTCTATCAGATCTTCACATTACAATGTCTAGTTTCAGACACTGCCTATCAAATCCACATTTGTCATTAACACTGCCTTCATACTACTCATTCAGACTGTACTGTATCATTCCTCTGTATGGGACCCTCTCACTCTTTCAGTTAAATTTACATCACTTTTTTTGTGTGAATTATAATTAGAAACTGTTTTAATTCTTACTAATGATAATATCAAAACTAAATATATCCATCTGTATGTTTTACATAATACACACAGTCAGAAACATCTTCATTCTTAACCCCCCCCCTCTCTCTCTCTCTCTTTCTTTTTCTTTCTTTTTCTTTCTGTTTTTCATTTTTCCTCTCTTTTCCCCCACTTTCTTGCTTTCTCCCTTTGTTTTTCGTTCTTCTCTCTTCTTTTTTCCTTTTTTTTCTCGTTTTTTCTTTGTTTTCTTGTTCTTTGTTTGTCATTTTCTCTCTCTCTCTCTCTCTCGCTCTGTTAACAAAACACCATGCTCTGTTGGTTGTGTTTCTCTATCCTGGGTCTTGTCTGGTTTGATGGAAGCTTTGCTCTCCTCATCATTACTGTTTGGTGTCGGCCAGTCAGCGGCTTTCACACCAGCTGAAAACACAGCACTGGTAGTGATGAGGATGATGATGAAGGCTGATGATGGCATAATTTTAAGTATGTTCATTAAAGGTCCTGGATGAATGCATTATTTTCAGTTATGGTTACATAGGTCTGAGTGATTGTTTATATGTTTAAGAAGTGTTGTACAGGGAGGTTATCAGTGGTGGCTGAGCATGTGACGCATTTCAATGAAAACAAAAGCTTCGTCTCCATGTTAGACCTTAACCATGAACAGTAGAGAGCAAGGCACAAACTAATATGGGGTGAAATGGACTGTTTGACTTGTGAACAGATTTATTAGAATGATAACCTGACTGTCTTTTTTCTGCTTTTTTCTGTCTATGTGTGAGAAAAGGGATACGATTGTTAACAGTTGCCTGCTAACCTGCACTTTGCCTTGTCTTAAAGATGTTAAAAAGTTGAATAATACATGTTATAAGCAGCCTTTCAACAAATAATAAATAGTGTTCCAGACAATATAATCATAAAAAAGATTTATTTTTATGTCCATCTTTTGGAAGCAAAATGGACGTCAGCGAAGCGACAGTGGGTTTCTGCAGACCACAGTGTGTGTGCATGCATGTACATGTGTTTGAGGGGAAATAAAATTGTTCGTGTAACATATTTTTTGATCTTTATGTTAATTTAACAAGATTCTGTTTTAATTTTGGACCATTTCTGTTGGTCCAATCAAATGTTCACACAATGTAAGAGGCAGCTGGTATTTCCTAAAATTTAATTTGTGGTGCTGTAAATTTGCCTATTAGGTATAAATGCTCTCTGTCTTGCACTCTCTCTCTCTTTACTTCTTTAGCTCTCTCTTTCTTTGTGTCTCTCCTTCTCTCTCCCCTTCTCTACTTCTCCAACTGTCCCTCTGTCTCTTTCCTTCTGTGCTTTTCGAACTGTCTCTCTCTTTCTCTACTTCTCTAGCTGTCTCTCTGCTTTTCTACCTCGCTAGCTGTCTCACTGTCCCTTTCTGTCTCTCCTTCTCTGCTTCTCTAACTCTCTCTTCTTCTCTACTTCTGTAGCTTTCTCTGTCTGTTTCTCTCCTCTTCTTCTCTCTCTCTCTCTCTCTCTCTCTGTTTCTTTCTGATATTGTGACCTGTGTATCTCTCTGTAAGCCCTTCCATAAGTCTAGGTGTGTATTTGTCCGGACTTCCTTTCTTCTTTAGTAGCAGCGCGTGTCGTGGAGGCAGAGAGGCGGCCTGGTCAGCACATGCATTTTTAAACAGCTTTACACCAGACTGAGGGAGACATCAATCTTAAGACAAACACGAGAGAGAGAGGTAGAGAGAGCAAGCAACAAGCGGCTGTAAAGGCGGAGGTGGGCAGAGGAAGAGGAAAGGGCTATGACTGAGTAGTAAGAGAGGCAGAGAGAGCACATGGTGAATAATTTAGACGCATAGCAATATGTGTGTGTACGGGGTTTGTGTTTGGGAGCATACACAACTGTGCAGAGTTTTTCGTTTTTCACCAGGCTGCAGGTGCAGAGGTCTCCCCAGGTGAGTGTTGGCTGGGAGAAAGCAAACTTTAGAGTGTTGTTAGGGTATTGCAACTGCAAAGCATTCGTGTAGAGGGAGTCAAAAATAAGCACTTTTTAAAAATACAACACCAAAAATTACAGATGAGTCATATTGCCAGTGCCTCATGCGCGCGCACACACACCCGGCTGAGTCCGATTTGCCTACGAGGGTACACTTTTCTGTACATCCACATTGTTTGCAGACTTTCCATATATATCATCGCCATCCAAAGAAAAGCAAGTATCTCCAAAACGGCATCTTAACAGAAGAAAAGCAGAAACGTTCTTTCCTGTATACAGTGCAGACCTAAGAGATATGTGTAACAGAGCATTACACAGAAGCCTCAACAACAAAATATAATATTAATCTAATAAATATATTTGCCTTCAGTAATTAAAAAAAAAATTGAAAAGCAAACTTTTATACAGCTTCCATTGTTTTCGGAAGACTTGAATTCAGGTTTCTTTTTTTGTGTTTTTTTTTTAAGAAATGTGCAGGGATAGTTTTATACACCTTTAAAGTTCAGTCAGAAGCTGGTTGTATTTTCTGCTTCTCACAATTCAAGTAATCCCATTTAAAATTTAGTCTGCAGAACCTTACTCCACATCTCCGATCTCCAATTTCAGCGTTCTAGTGCAAATTTTTTGTCTGTTTCCTTTTCTCAGTAATGACGTCTTGACAGCTACCCTTACCCCGACCCTTAGCGTTGAGTTGTCTTCTCACAGATGGACAGAAATGGCTGTGGATTTTTTCAGATCTGAAGCAACAGTGGAGCTTGATTTTCTCCTCTCTCTCAAAGACGAAAGCACTAAGTACTGTTTTATGATGGTGATAGTTTTGGTGGTCTACCAGGTCCTCAAAGGTTGTTAGGAGTTCCATTATCTTTATATCATTTAAACGTTTTTTTTGAGCTCCAATTTGGGGAAACTTCTGTTTTTTCATTTATTTTCCTTTGACCTTCTCCTTTCTAATGCAAAAATATTAAAAATGTTTTGGAGTTGCATATTGTGGCCTTTTACAATGTCAGCATTGCTATAATTTTTGTTCATTTATTTGAGGTTTATTTAATAGGAGCGAGTATATGAACATTAAAGGTTGCATGGAATAGCCTGATTTATTGTTACAGTGGCCATAAGAATTACTGTGAATACATATGAGTAAATTTAACCATTTGTGGTGTGTGTGTGTGTGTGTGTGTGTGTGTGTGTGTGTGTGTGTGTGTGTGTGTGTGTGTGTGTTTAGGGCCTAGCTGTCTGCACAAGGTTTAATAATAGATTAGTGCAGTGTGTTTGGGGTCTGGTGGGGTCATCCAGCACAGCAGCAGTGCAGTGATGTATGGAGCTGAATGCATCAGTGTATGAGCTGTATTTCATACTCCCTCCTTATGGAGAGGAAAACAGGTCTAGGCCAGACCGTGTAAAGCAGCAGAAAACCACCATGTACAAAACATCCAATGGGAAAAATGAGAGAAGTTTCTCCACACATATATATATATATATACCTTACCCACTGGAACCGTAGCACCACGTGCTCACTTTAAACTTTCTCCAAGAACACTGCTGCACCATGATGGAGAAGGTGTAGGCTTCTGCCACTCAGACTCCTGAGTTTTATGGCTGAAGAGTTTCATGTAGGCCTTCTGTACTTGCGCTTGTTGGTGCTGTTACTATTGTTTAAAAATGCAAAAAACATTATTTATTTTCCTCACATAGCCTTTTGTCCCTCCTTTGCTGCAGTAACAGCCTCTACTGTTGTAGAAAGTTGGTGCAGTAGATGTTGGAACATTGATGTGTGGATTTGATTGCATTCAGCCATAAGAGCATTAGTGAGGTCAGGTACTGGATCACAAATGCCTCTCCAGCTCATCTTAAAGATATTGGCTGGTGCTCAAAAACTCCTTAGAATACCACTGCTGGGGGCTTTTTACCCCTATAGCATTAGCATTAGCATTGGGCTCATGTGCAGACTTTCCGTTTTTTGTGGCAAGGCTGTACTATGGAGATTATACAAGGTGCATGTGCACAGTTTAAAGTAGCTGAATTCACTAATAAGAAGAGAAGTTTGAATATTTTCACATATAGTGTAGTTTTACTACAGGGGTGCCCAGTCCTGGAGATCTACTGCCCTGCCGAGTTTACCTCCAATCCTCGTCTAACACACCTGATCCAGGTAATGAAGGCCTTCAGAGGCATCTGAACATTAGAGCCAGGTGTGTTGGATCTAAACTCTCCAGGGTGGTAGATCTCCATGACCAGGATTGAGCATCCCTATTTTACTATAAATCTGCTCCATGGTGAATAGATGCCACCTGCCTAAATTTTCTGAATTTGATTATGTACATCTGTTTTCTTCTCTTTCTCTCATGTATTCTGTTTAATTGTTTGTTTCAATGTGAACTCCTGCCAAGACAAAGCAGTTATAAATGGAATCTTATTTCGCTGATAAAAAAAATCTGATTGTGATTCTGGTCACGTTCTGCCCTTCTCATGTAATGTGTAGTTTATATTTGAGTAGAGTCTAGGTATGCAGACTTGTTCAGTTTTCATGGTGTAAAGAGTTTTAGTTCTAAACTTTGCACCAGTGTTTTTGCTGACTGTGGGCAAAAACTTGAATCTATCCCAAAAAGTATTGCACTTGGAGAGCCGCACTCTGAACACCTTGTTTGCATAAAATTATTATAATCTCTCACATACTGTCTCTCTCTCTCGCTCTTGCTCAGTCTCTCTCTCTCTCTCTCTCTTTCTCTCTCTCTCTCTCTCTCTCTCATAAACAAACACTCATTCTTGTTTTTCTCTCTTTGTCTCTCCTCTCCGTCTCCTTTGTCACACTCACTCACTCTTGTTTCTCTGGTCTGTCTCCTCTCTTACTCTTGTTTCTCTCTCTCTCTCTCTCTCTCTCTCTCTCTCTCTCTCTCTCTCTCTTTCTTTCTTTCTTTTACACACACACACTCGCTCTTGTGTGTGTGTGTGTGTGTGTGTGTGTGTGTGTGTGTCTCTCACACTCTCTCTCTCTCTCTCTCTCTCTCTCTCTCTCTCTCTCTCTCCCTCTCTCTCTCTCTGAGCACAGCAGACACCAGGTGTTGTAGACCTTCTGAGAATGGGGGGTGTCCAGCTGTTAATATTTCTTGGCTAACGTGTGTGAAGCCCCTGTGGTGCCATTTAAACGTGCCTCAAGGGACCCCTTGTGCTACACGTTTCCAATCAGCACACACATATACACACACTCTAGCCAATGAGACTCGAGGGTGTTTGCATGCAGCCTTCGTTTGCAGATTTGAAAGTTTATGAAAGTATGCCTGCATTATTAGGCCTCTTCCCCTCCATTAAACTCCCATGACACCAGGTCTCCTGCTACAAATACAGGAGGAAATGTGCATAAAAAAGCATATACTATATTTACACATGTATCTGCTCGCATTCCATTCACTGGGGAGCATGAGACCCAATATAATCTAGCTCTCTCAGTCTGCATCACTTTCTTGCTCTCTCTGATGCATGCTTACACACACACACACACACACACACACACACACACACACACACACACACACTCTCACGTAACCGCTTTTCCTCCCATGTGTCACCCTCTTAGGAGAACGTCAGGATTGGCTGGAGGTTCTGCAGTCTGCTCTGAAGTCCCGCTCCTCTATTTCCCACAAGCCCTGCAAACACAGCTCCAGCAAGAGCGGCTGTGTGGAACTGCGCGGCCACAAAGGCAGAGTGTACCTCAGCCTCACGGGAACCAAAGTCAGACTCTGCAAAACAGACCAGGTAGATTTTAGTTCAGCCATGTATTTATCATATTCCCCTATTCAAGACAGAACATCTCTTTTAACTTTCTCCTTTATTTGTACAAATGTAAGGGAATAAGGGTGAGCACTGTGATGTGTCTATGAAGGGAAAGTATAGAAAGGAAATAGTTTCAGACTTGGGTCCCCACAGTGTATAGAGCAAGCCAGCCTGAGCTCTGCCTCAGGTAACGTCAAACCAGTGAAAACTTATAGGCACATGTTCACTGTACCTATAAATCACACATAACCAGCTTTGGTAAGACTTTCTATGAACCATTTTTTCTGAATGCATTTATAATGATGTTTGGTGACCTAGACCTTCAGTTCACGCCAAACATGTTAAGGCTCGGTCCAAAACGAGGAAAGAAAACACCTTTTACGAAAATGCTTATTTTTGCTTAGTGCCCCTGTGAGATTTTAGTAGTGTGTTAGCACTAAGCTAATATAGTTTGACAGTTTTGACCATTTTAGATAAAATGTGCATATTTGAAGCTTATAAGATATGTTTCATGTTTTAGTTGAAGCAAGTAACAGACATAGTCATATAAGTATTACTTGTAGCTAGGGGTGGGAATCTCTAGGCACCTCACGATTCGATTCGATTCGATTACGATTCAGAGGGCTGCGATGTGATTTATAAAACGATTATTGTTTCTCGATGCATCTTTTTTTTTTCTATACAGTGTTTCTGTTTTCTCACTGTCTGAGGACTTTTAAAACAAATTATTTGTAATGATCCATAATGCATTTACGTCCAATATCTTTTATTAATAAAACAAATGGAAGTGATGTGGCAAGTGAACTAGAAGGCTCTCATTCACTGCTGTTTGGAACATAGGAGACGCTGCTGCCACTCATCTACGATGAAATGCGCTGTTACGGTGAAATAAGATCCAGTGGTGATAGATGTCCACGCAGCACGTTACAGCCGTCCTACCCGTTTAATTCAGTGATTTTATAACTTCGGGTTTGGTCTCGTTGTAGAGATGGTGGGGTCGCTGTGTCAGTAAAATATCTTCGAGAAGGGGCGTGTGCAACATACCGCGAAAGACCTGTTTTGCAACGTGCAGACTGCAGGTCACATAGCAACGATGCGTTATTCGCATTTATAAGCAGCGCAGTTGGTTTCCTGGTATGTTAAATCTGCAGCGTCAGACGGTCAAACACTAAAAAGTTGCGAAGATGAAGTTGCTTCTCTTTCGAATTCTCCCGTTCCACCTTAAATGGTGCCGCATTTACATTCGGCGCCTCAGTCAGAATTTAAGGTGGAACGGGAAAATTCGAACGAGAAGCTGGAGAATGAGAAGCGACTTCAGCCTCGTAAAACAGTCAAACGCTGAGAGACATTTTAGAAGAAACTATTGAACTTTTGAGGAAAAGTTTCCTGAGGGAAAGGGGAGGAAAGCGGCTATAGCCGAAGCTTAAAGCAGAGCAAAGTAAATCTGCGCTCTCGTTTATATTGTTTAGCCTATACTAGGACATTAATACATACTGGACATTAAATGTTGTGGCTCCCAAGCTGGTTTGATATTTGTTGAAAGGACAAAATGTCTCTTCTTAACATTGGGGTTGTGACACCTGACCTTACCTGGCTTTTAATGCAGAGGGAGCCGGTCGGATTTCTCGCTTATCCATGTGTGTTTTTGTTATGTGCCGCCACAGACTGTCTGGGCGCTGCATTTACCCACTTCCAAGTTCCACCTTTTACGTTCCGTCAACATTACTTTATAAATTAAATATTTAGAAAATTGGTTTTGACATTTGCGAATCGATTCAGAATCGTTCACGTCCGCATCGCGATGCATCTAAGAAACGTTTTTTCCCCGCACCCCTATTTGTAGCAGTTTTACAGTGATTCATTAAGAGCCCTGACATAGAGCTGCAGATGTTTTCCATCTGACTGAAACACACTAGGCTACCACCCGAAAGTCAGTTACATATCTAGAACTTTCAGAAGGCCTAGAATGATGTTTTTTCCTCACAAAATTGGTCCCACCCATTGATTACGCTGTCAGTTCCTAATTATGTTAGTGGTTAATCTGACACGTTAAGACACTTAACTATTCAACTAGCTACTGTTACTGATGTACAAATAAGGTCAAACAAAGCTGAAGCGCGATGAGCTTGAAGTTAAGAATATTGTGGCGGCTCTTTGTGCTTTTTATGAGAACGTCGCCGCTCCCCCGTTTCAGTTTCCTAAACGCTTTTGCCGACCGTGCTAACGTTATTCCTCCTAATAAAAAAAGAACTTGGAAGTCGAAAGCACTGTTTTCAGTGTAGATGAATGTAGCGTCTTTATACTAGTTATAGTGAACTATGCTGGCTGGCACTACATAAAATGATAGAAACAGACAGTTAAAACAAGTTAAGACAGCTCTGGGGTTGTCTTAAAGTTTTTAAAGAAGTTTTGTCTGGTTGGGATGTTTCTGTGATACTGTTTTCTTATCTGGAGTGAGGATAAAATTATGAGCTTAAGAACTGTTGTTCTGTGAAAGGTTCTGTCCTAAAATCAGTCCTAACTGAAGTTGTCATGGTGACTAAAGAGATAAGATTTCAGACTTAAGAAGTTTCTGTAACACCGCCCCTGTAGTCCTGTTTCCAACAAAAACTTAACAGTAAATTAAGAGAATTACTACAAAACCTGCAGAGTTATATACTGTACAATTGTGATGATCATATTAAACAAAAACGAGATAAAAACGACAGATGTTAGAAGGCCTACAAGGCCCTGAGAGTTCCCTCCTGGTTATATGGTATACATAATACCATATAATGCCTGACATTAGCCTGTATAATTGCTCATGAGCAGTGCTGTGTTTTGTTTTGTGTTTTGTTCTGTGCCGTGTCATGCAGTGAAATGTCACAATTAACACACAAATTACATTCAAGGACAGACACATATAACATATACAGATGAAAGAGTTTGCTTGTAATTAACATTATACACTTAAACGTGTGAGTAAGGGAAGTAACAAAATTCTTAAAATAAGTAGCTAATTAATTGAAGAAAAAAGTAATTACATTCCAATAACATGTTGCTGTACCTTGCCACCCTTAACACTGCTCATTAGTAGGGCTGTCAAATATTAATTCATGTTTGAATATTATTATATTATTATATTATTGTTACATTATTATATTACATTAATATTATGTTAGAATATATTATAAGAATTAGAAATGCTTCAGGCAATGTTTTGTTACTTTAAATACATTGTAATTGTTGTTGTTATTGTTATTATTATTATTATTATTATTATTATTATTGCTGCTGCAGTCTGAATAAATTTAAATCCCCCTGCTCTGGACAGCTTGCTAGCCAGCCTGCTCTCATTTATTCTATAAAATAAAAATAAGCGAGAGCAAGTTAATTTGTACTGCCCCAGGTGAATAAGATGACTAGAACGAAGTGTCTTAAGCCGAGTATTTCCAAAGAGTCTGGTGTGCAGAGCTGGCTATGGATGCCACCAGTGACATGCTAGCTTTTAGCTTAATAAACAAACAATTATTTCCTCACAGAAGTGGCTAATTTTATAAACACGATAAACTTTTCAGGTATTTGAATGGCTTTACAGTTTTTCAAGATTTGATTTTAACAGTTTTATCGAATATTATTAAATAATTATTGCAGCCCTACTCCTAAGTATACAGTACTCTTATGGGCTGATATTTCCATGCATCACAAAATACTATAGCTTTATAAAGCATTATCCAAGTAACTATAACTATGTATGAGCACAGCAGGCTCATGCAGCGCATTTTAAGCTATTATTTATGCTATATAAAACATTGTTAATGCATTTATAATGCATTATGAATTCAAGATTCATAAGACCTTGGCTTATTTTTTCAAATTAGACTGGGACTTTCTCTGTATCTTTCTCACTCTCCTGCATGTGCAGGCACACCCCCCCTGCTGTATATCATCTTTACCTTTCATTACTTCCTGCATTATCGTAAACCGAGGTCTTTTGTCTTAATTTTTCAAGGAAATTTCTCTTCGTCAGCTGATAAAGAGAGAGAAAAAGGGAGGGCGAGTGGTATTAAGTGGAAGAAATGGAAATTGATTGTATTGTTTTTGTTTTAAATCCCCTCTCCGTGGTGGACGCGTGGTCAAGCGGTGGGAGAAAAGGCAAGAGAGGGGACGAGGAGATAGATAGAGAGAGACAATGATGGAGGGAATGTAGAGGGAAGTGAAGACAGCGGGGCGAATTGAGGGATGAAGAGAAGGTGAAAGAGCATGCGATGGAGAGCGAGGGAGGGAGCGAGCGAAAGAGTGAAGTGGGTGACTCTGTTCATGTTCACTGGAGTGGAGTATTTAATTTAACAAGATGAACGAGCTTGCTGTTGCGTCCCCCCCTCTCTCTTTCTCTCTTTCTCTCTTTCTCTCTCTCTCTCTCTCTCCCTCCTTGGGGAGTCAGGAGCTCTGCCCTGAGCGTAGGTCACCCTCGTGCCTCCCAGAGGGAACCAAAGTCACGGCAAACAAACAAAAGAAGCCGCTGCTCGGCCTCCGTTTAGTGCCACATTGATCCCCTGCTCAGCTACCCGCTCAAAGAACCAGCAGCAAAGGTTTGAACTCAAGTGTAAGCAGGGTTGACACAGCAAGCTACCATCAACAGGCTAAATTATAACTTTTGAGGGGCCATTTTAGCAGCATAAATAAATCTGCGAATCATGACACTTTTGTTCAGTGGAGGTGGGAAAAAAAAACATATGAAACCAGAAAGCTCTCGGGCCTTTTTCATTGGGGTAAGGAGTCGGTAAAAAGTGACAGTTGAAGTGCCTTGCAATTGAACAATGCATTATAACTGTACATGCTGCGTTTCACTATATGAAATGGTGTTTTATTTTTGGGTCCTTCATAATGGCTGTTCTTTGTGTCCTGAAATGGCTTGGCATATGAAGGGATCGTAAACACAAATGCCTTCACACCCTCATGCTCACATGTTGATGTGGCCTGTTCTTGTGTAATTTCACATTTTCTTTTTATATTGATATGAACTGTGTGGCTCCAGAGCGCCACACTTATTGACTAAAGATCTTTGTACGAACAATATGTAAAAGTCTTCTTCAGTATCTTAAATGTGCCTGTTATACTCTTTCTGCATGCTAGATTCCTACACTGCATAGTGTAAAGAGTAATTCTAGATGTTCTTCGGGTGCATGTTTTCTGGTTTTATGAAAACATAAAAACTTCATGGTAAACAACAAACTGTATAGTCCAAAAAAAGAAAAAAAACACTGGGATGCACTGATTTCTGGGCAGATAATGCTAAATGGCAATTATTAATACATCAGTTAGCACATCATTGTTTTTAAACTCATGTTGGATTACTGAGAAATTTGTTTGCTTTGTTGCCTATAAAGAGAGGATAACAAAAGTTAAAAAAATAGACAAATAAATAAAGAAAAATAAAGTTGATAACGTAGTTTTATTTGAAATACAAACCCATTTCCAAAAAAGCTTTTATCCTATCAGCTTCATTTTTTAAAAAATATTATATGCTTATTCTGAAACTGATGCTTGCAACACATTCCAAAAAAGTTGGGACAGGGACAATTTAAGACCATTAAGATGTGTGTTTTTTTTTTTTTTTAAACATTTCACAAACAGGTGACAATCATGCTTGGATACAAAAAGGGACATGCAGGCCTAGTCATTTGAGTAAGGATGGGTTGAGGCTTGCCCCTCTACCAAAAAAAAGTAGTACAGCTGTTTAAAAACAGTGTTCCTCAATCAAGGATTGCAAGGATTTTAAGTATTTCACCCTCTACAGTGGATAATAGCATTCAAAGAATCAGAGGAATGTATAGAAATCTCTGTTCATAAAGGAAAAGGCCAAAAACACAAATGAATGCCAATGACCTTTAACCCCTCAGACAGCACTGCATTAAAATCTGTTATGCTTCTGTGATGGAGATCACCACATGGGCTCAGAAATACTGTTATCAGTAAACAGTGTCCATCGCTGTGTCCACAAATACAAATTAAGACTGTACTGTGCACATTGGAAGTCACATATCAAAGTCCAGAAATGCTTCTGACTTCTCTGGTCATCTGAAATGGAATGATGCACAGTGGAAATGTGTATTGTATTCTGATGAGTCAGCCTTTTAGATATTTAGATATTTATGGGAATAATGAACATCATGTTCGCTGGGTCTAAGAGGAAAAGCCATATTCTGTCATAGGGGTATTAGTAGGTCACTTGCACATCTGTGAAAATGCCATTAATACTGAACACATTTTGGAGCAGTATATGCTGCCGTCTAGATGCCGTCTTTTTCAGGAACACTCACGCTTATTTCAACGTGATGGCAACCAGCCACATTCTGAATGTGTTACAACAGCATGGTTGCATAATCAGAGTGTGTGCTAGACTGGCCTGCCTGCAGTCCAGAACTGTCTTCTGTTGAAAACGTGTGTCTTATTAAGCTCAAAATATGACAGTGAAGGCCCTGTAGGGTTGCACAGCTGAAGACTTGTGTTACAGAAGAATGGCAAAAAATATGCTTTCAAAACTGAATTGGCTGTTGTCTTCGGTCTCCGAATGATTATTAAGTGATGTTAAAAGATGTAACGTACTGGTAAACTTGCTCCCATCCCAACTGTTTTGGGATGTGGAAATAACCAAACAAAATGACCCAGAAGGCTCAAACCCTCATTTGTGTAGAAACATAAAACAACCCAGCAATTTTACTAATAAGTAAAATTATATATGACTAAGACACGGTTTAGTCTGATATTGTGTGTATGTCCCTGTTGAAGGACTTTAACTCTGGAGTGGCCATTGCTGTAGTAGACCTGACTGCTGCCTGTGTTAAACATGTGGATCGCAGAAGCTTTGAGATCAACACTCCTTTCAGATCCTTCTGGTGAGTGTGTCTATGTTTGTGTGTCCTGCTTATAACTTTAAGTACATGCAGTAGCTAAGTGTTAAAAACCATCAGCTCTTTTTGAGATTAACAGGTAGGTAAATCCCTATTAAATTAATAAAGGTAGCCTTTTAAAATGACCTTCAAACCTTCATAAGCCTCTTAGCAAGCTTCTTTAATATCAATTCACTTCATGCTTATAACCACAAAACAGCCCAAAAACCATATTTTTCACTCAAGGTAATAACCTGCAGGTTGCTCTCATTCTTTTATATACTCAGAATGCCCTTGGAATTTACTCATATAGTTTGGAATTTAAACAGATTGTTCAGTTGGATGCAGAAGACTGCCTCTTTTTTTATTTTTATTTATTAATTTTTTTAAAGACTATTGATTCTGTTAAATACTCTTTCATTTAATATCTTGCAGGGGATCCTGGTAGGTCAGTGGTTAGAGAATGTAGCTGTAGGTGATGCGGTTATGGGTATGCAGCTGATGACTGCTGTAACTAAGCCTCAAAGCAAACAGCTTGATCTCAGTTAGCCCTGCCATAGTTGCTTCAGGCAGTAATGTCAGCTAGTGAATCTGGTCTAAATATATTGTAATGTAAAAGGGGAAATTCCCACCATTTCATGCATAATTCCTGCATAATTCAATTGTTTAGATGCAAACAAAGTAATACAGAGCGGTTTGATTTGAAATATGCGGTTCTAGAGAAACTTGCCAAGTCAGAATCGTTCACACCGGTGTTAAAGCAAGTGTCTGAAGAGTTTAATACTCCTAGAAGCAGCATCATGTAAAGTAATTATACTAAATTGTTGCCAATGTGCTGCAAAGATGACTCCTTATTAAATTATTAAAAGAGTCACTTATAAGCCAAAACATGCTAAACTTAAAATTCTCACTTTGTGTTTTTTTATTAAGAAATATTAAAGCTCTACATGCAGGTAATAATTATGGATGACCACATTTACATGCAAACTTGTTTGTCTAAGGAGATGAAACAAGTGTTTTTGTTGCAAATTTGAAATACGATATGTATTTCTCTTCAAAGTGCTGCAATGTCAAAATAAAAGCCCCTTCTAACAAAGTGTGACAGCACACCAGAATAAAAGGCCCATGCAGGAGGGCTTTTCTAATTCTCTGGTGCTTCACGCCAGCTTCGTCAGCAAACACTATTTCAGACTTTTTTTATTTTTATTTAGTTAGTGTAGGCTAAAAATATCAAATGTCAGATTTTGGGGTGATTTTGACATAATAAAGTGATAATTAAGATGTCCACAGTGATCAGTTAAACTTAGTAGTCCAAAAATAAATTAGAAGAATATGGTTGAAAATGATATTCCAGTGTGCCTCATTTTAAATGTTTTCATTTGAAAAGTGTGGTTTGGAATTAACTCTTTCAGTGTAACGTCACATTATATGAGGTATACAGATTTTGAGCTGAAAGAAAAAAAAATATCAGATCAGTACTTGGTGTCAGCCAATATTGATTCAGGGATCTGAATCGGTATTGGGAGACAAAAATTGTCGATTCAAAATAGTACCCAGAGAAACCTTTAGATTTTCCAATATTTTACCATTATCAGCATTTCAGTGGTCATTTTGGATTGCAAATAAGATATATTTGTGTTGTAGACACTGTGACCCTGTTTCCACCACTGTAAAGAAATCTAATCTGGGTCAATAAGTTTCTCTAAATGGTAGGGATGACAATCATCATATGAATGATTCCAATTAACAATGTATTTGTTTTTTTTGTTGTTCTTTGCTTCTTAGCTGTCAGTACTTAGTAACTCCCAACTGACAACAGAAGCTGCTTGAGCTCAAACATTACTCACTGCTGCCCTCTAAACATGTTATAGCACAAAGTCAGACGTTAAAACTGTTAAGACCTATGACATCTCTCAATAAACCATGCAAGTAAAATCAACAAGTAATATTTGAGCAATAATCAGTGCCCCATTTCAAATCAAACCACTCTGAATGACTTTGTTTACATCTTACATCTTTTTCATCTTAAAACATGTAGAAAGATCCTGACATACCATCGTTGCACTGCTTTAAGTGCTGTGGAGCTTTGTAGAATGGAAGATTTGTCTCATCAGCTAGGCCTTAGCTCTGCTTTGTAGTTCATCTGCGTAGGGTTGCATATTTTGCAGAAGTGTGACTTTTACCTATTTTAGTCTATTAAAGTATCACAGTGTCAGACTTCCACCCTTTTGTTTAATTGATCCACTAGCACAACTTGGATTTAAATTGAAAGTGTGATTAAAAGGATTGGAAAAAAAAAAATTACAGAGTGCGCCAAATAAAAGTCTTTGAAGCCCTCTTTGTCTGTACTCTAGAGTAACCAGAATACGTGATTGCTGAACCCGATAGTGTGAGATTTATTAGCGCCAGATGAAACACTTCTGATCCTTTTAGACTTTGTTTTGGTATCACTTCTTATAGTCACTCCCCCGCTGTGTTATTTTATTATTATTTTTTTTCTTTCCTCAAACAGACTCTCGCTCATTACCGTTCTGCTTCTCTGATACGACAATCTCAGACACTTTCACTCATTATTGATCTGTTTTCTTTCCTCCTTTGCAACTCTCTATTTTTTTTTTTTCCAGCAAGTGAAGTGGTTGTACAGTAGCGGCATTGATGACCTTCGACCCTATGCAAACAGCCCTCTTCAGCGAAAGCGGCTGTTAGCGATGACCTAATCCATGATGTTTGGATGTTTGTTTTTTAATGACCCTTTTATAGTCGTTCGATAAGGCGTTAAAAGATGCCTTCCTTTTCTGTCTGGCTTTGGCAGAGCTGCACTGGCTAAGGGTTTTTTTTGTCTCTGGCTTTTGTGGACTGTAGCATGTATTGATCTGTTTGTATTTGCTTGCTAAACATGGAGGCCTGCGTCTCTGGTGTTTAGTGTAGGCGTTGTCAACATAATTGGAATTTCTTGCTAAAACGAAGCATCAAAAATAAACCTGATCTCTTGGATTCATTAAAAGTAATGGCTGTGGAGGGTCCCATAACTGCGATTGATTTTGGATGTGGAGTGTTTACTGGATTGTATATTTGGAGCTTATTTGGTCGCTGCAAGTCATTTAGAAAGCCCAGGTGACAGAATACATCACGAAGGAGAGCAGAGTGAGACACACATACATGTACAAATGCATTACTGTGTCCTTCCCCGTCTTTATCTCATACACACACTCCATCACAGACACAGTATCAGGAGTGAAAAAAGACAGTAATCAGATTACAGGTACATTATAAAAATAGAGTGATTACCACCAGGATTACATTCAAATGCAAACTCCTCGTCTTGTACCGGTGTTTGCCGTTTTAATGATAAGTATGTTGCACGAGTCGTGTAGATTTTAGAGTTTTTAATTTGGGGGAGGGGTGAGGCGGTGCTTCTGCCAGGAGAGAATTCTGAAGACTTTCCCGCCCAGCAGCAGTTTACAGGGTTTTATGCAGCCAATCTGAACAATTTTTATTAAGTATTTTATTTTTTATTGGCAGAACTGAGATCTGCAGCATTTTCCTGAAGATATTTGAATCAGGAGTTTAACCTGGATTTCCACGTTGCCAGATTCCACAGCAGCAGACTGATTTGATCTGATCAGGCAGTAAACTCATTATTCTCGTTTGTGGCTTTGTTAAATCTAGTTTGACTAACTATAAATCACACTTTTGAAAACCTTAATAGTTTGAAACATAAAAAGAGAGTTAGTTTCGTTTTCACTTGTATGATTTCTTCCTTCAGTAGTTTTCGAATGATGTATGTAAAATGTTAATATGTCTCAGGACAGCAGTATAGTTTTTAACTATTTTGAATTATTTTATATCAATTACTTGTTCCCCTTTGTTTTAGTCTCAGAACTTTTAGTCTCAGTATACAGATTTTTTTTTTCATTTTCCTTTTTAAATCACTCCTTTTTTTCCTAGGGAGCAAAACTTGATTTCTGGTTTTTAAGGTTACAAATTTGTAATCTGTCATCTTTTATATTATTATTATTTTTTTTATTGCATACAACTTCTGTCTGTCGTTCTCTTTTCTTTTTCCCTTTTCTCTTTGTTTTCAATTCATATCAAGTTTTGCTTTATTGTCAAAGCATTGGATCTATCACATATACATTTAATATACATTTAAGATATGACATGCACACAAAGAAAAAGAAAATGTTAATTATTAAATATATACTTATGACACTCCCTCTTTACCTCACTCTCTCCCCCCTTTCAGTGTTTTTTTTGCTTTCTCTCCTTCACTGTGTCTCTTGCTCTCTATCTGTCCATCTGTCTGTTTCTCTCCATCTGTCTGTTTCTCTCCATCTGTCTGTCTGTCTGTTTATGTATTTTTCTGTCTTTCTCCCTTTTAATCTCTCTCTCTCTCTCTCTCTCTCTCTCTCTCTCTCTTTCTCTCTCTCTCTCTCTCTCAGCTCTGGTAGTAACCGTCTAGCAACTTGTATGTCTTTAATTAGTCCATAAAATCAAATCGATAACAAGGAGTTTTAAAAAAAGATCAATTGTCAGTTTCACAGCGGAGTCGGAGCGTGAGCGTGAGGAGTGGATCGAGGCAGTGCAGGAATCGATTGTCGAGACACTGTCCAATTATGAGGTGGCCGAGAAGGTTTGGTTCAACCAGTCGAACAGGAACTGCGCCGACTGCAAAGCGCCAAACCCTGAGTGGGCCTCCATCAACCTCGGAGTGGTCATCTGTAAAATGTGTGCAGGTACACACTCTGAACAGAACACGCACACACAATATTGAAGTAAAACAGTACAAAAGTGAATGTAAATATTACTGTCACTGCAGACAACCTCAAACCTTCGCATGCTGCACTGTTGCAGGTTAAAAGTGCAGTTCCACACTCTCTTAACTATATAACTTAACATAAATTGTTGGATTAAAGGGATATTTTTCAAAATAAAAGTGAGTCATTTTGTATTGTACAGTTAAGGATAATGATGTCTCTAATGTAATGTATAAATAACATGCACATATGTAGAGAAATATATTAAGCACACATTACTTTTTTTTGATGTCTTCTGTGCTTTGCTTTCAGAATGTTTCACTTTTAACTACAGTATGCTGAAGAATGGTCACTATGCAATTACATTTAAAATTTACTGTGTTGCCATAGTTACAGATTTATTATCTAATGCAATTGCTCAGTTCCTTTTTTCCAAGTATACTTTTCATTTTGTGTGAAGTTTCTGTATCAGACGCCTTGAGTTCCTCAAAGACATCTTCTACTGGAAAGTTTCCTGTCATATTGAATTTTGGCTGTTTGTGATGGCTCACATCAATTATCTGTTTAGGGGAAGTCGCACCCTGAACTTTTCACCAGCCTCATAGTCTGTCCATTAAATAAGCCCTCCTAGTTAGTGGTGTTTACATAGCAGGCATAGTGCATTCTTTTGAATTTCTTCAGGACATTGTGTGCTTTAAAAGTACAATTCAAGTTTGCACTTTGCTAGACCACTCAAAAAAAGATTCAGCACTCAAAACTGAACTGTTAGACAGATCTATTGACCAGCACAGGGATGTGGTACAACAAAGTATTTAGTGTTCTGAGAAGACATTTACCAATCACACATGAACCCCTGTTTCAATCCCGCTTGGGTATTATTATAACCGCTTGGGTATTATTGGCCAGAAATAAATGAGGTGTATTCTCTAAATTCAGGAGATACTATATAACTTACAACTCAAGGTTGTTCCCTGCAGTACTCTCAAGCAGTGTTAAATAATATAACTATTTTTAAATTATACTTTGTTAGCCTCCCTTTACCCTGTTCGTCAGTGGTCAGAACCCCCACAGGACCACCACAGAGCAGGTATTACGTGGTTGGTGCATCATTCACAGCATTGCAGTGATAGTGACATGATAGTAATGTGCTAGTGTGTGTTGTGCTGGTTCGAGTGGATCAGACACAGCAGCGCTGCACTGTGCACGCTTACTGTCTATTCTATTAGACACACCTATCCTGAAATCCCTCAAATTATAAAACTCAAATAATACCTGCTTTGTAAGGGAAAGGAGGCTAATAAGTGGACTACAGTCTGTTATTATGGATCTGCAAAGTGTTCCTTTATGAGACGTTGACCTGATTAAAATAGACAATGAGAGTAGATCCAAGGTAGGTGTCCACTAATGATCAGATCACCTAACATGTATAAGAAAGGGCCTGTATTGTGAAATTTTCTGCCTTTAGTTGAAAGGCTTTGATGTAGTATATAAACATTGCAGAGGTTTCAAAACATACTGATCACTCCCCAGTCCTTGCAGTCCATATATGGGAACTAAGCTGCAAAACATCCTATTTTAGAGTCATTGTTTTTGTGACGTCACAAAAACCAACACACATACAAATTTCCACCTATTCAGCCTACAGCAGTTTAGCTCCGCCCATTCATGTTGAAGTTAAAAGGAGTGTTTCAGCCCAGACTGCTCTTTGTTCTGATTAGCTTGTATTGTGCCTCATTCGGAGTTCGTTTAAATATCCGTCTTAAAAGAACAGTAACAAAAATACCCTGATTAATTCTAAGAGATAAAGAGAAGGGAAATGTCATGTATAAATGAATTGTGACTGTTTTTTTGTACATAAAACCACACTAACTAAGTGGACCTCAAGGGGAAAATGTAAAATGAGAGAAAAATATAGGATATGGGCTCTTCGACAGAAGATGTGAACAAGGCCTCAATTAATATTCAATTTGAGTTCCAGGATTAGTGATCATATAGCTGAAGGTGGTCTGTACAGGGACAGCAAGACCTGACGGTGTCACTGTGTGAACAAACACTCTACGCAAATAGTACAGCCCGGGCTGGACGTGTAGTAGAGATGGTTTAATTACTTTTGACTCTGTCAATGGTAATAAGGAGAGAGACCAAGAGAGTAAGTGGAGGAGAGAGGGAATCTAATGAGAGGCTAATGATTAGACAAGTGCACATTGTTTTTCAAGAGGGAGAGGTAAAAATGCAACGAGAGAATGAGAAAAATGAATTGTGCATTGTGTATTTCAATTATAGTGCATGGGGGGCTTTGGATACAATGATGTAGCGAAGCTATTTTTGTCCAGGGACTAAGTAATTTATGCTTTGAGAGAAGAGACCACTAAAAGAAAGTAATTCAGACCTTTTTCAAATGTTCTGATGCCCCCCTTCAACTCATCCATTTCTCTCCCTGTCTCTCACTGTTTTTCACCCACACACAGTCTCTTTCTGACAGATATTCAGGTGTTCTTAGCTTGGCTGGTCTAACTGCAGTAAGTTCTCCACATCAAATACTGAGATAATGGACATTTCTCTGGTACAAACTCCAGTTACCATAGGAACACATAATATAGACATTTTCCTTCTTGACCATTCCCCCCTTAACCCTTGAATTTTTACAGAGACGGTTATTAGATTAGTTTTTCCTGTTTTCTGTTGTAGGAAAGCTGACCGACAATGCACTTTTGTGTTCAGGGGAGATGCTAACTGTTATTTTTAATTGACTGTAAATGTATTTGTAATTAAATCCTAGTTGTTTTCAGTGAGCAGAATCGATGCAATCTCAGTAAAGTATTGTTTTTCATTATTTGCATGCTGTTCTATGTTTCTGTGTACATTCAGATGCTAAATAACAAAGTCTGGCGTGAATGAGAGCCAGCCCAGCGCTGTTTATGGACTGATTAAAATTAAAACCAAACGTACAGTGCGTGAACATGCTCCTCAGCCACTTCAGGTTTTGGACAGCTATAACAATCTTTGAGGGCGAATGAGTTCTGCATTACCACTAATTACACGAGAGGATCGCTTAATCCATATTCATATGTGTTCCTCTCAATGTTTAATTCATCTGTTTCTCTCATAAACAACAGCGATGACGCCTCAAGTTCAGCTAAACAAACACTGAGACCAACAAACACAATTAATTACGCATGATTCATTAGCAATTAATGCCTTTTTCATGCCTTTCATTTGCGATTAGAGCTGTGACAGTGAGAAATAAGGGCTTGGAATGGATGGGATTAGTGTGATAATGAGTTCCAACTGAAGCTGACTCTGTCTGTATGCTGGCTGGGTTGCTGTGCATTTCCACTCTTTATACTTTCATATGTCATACATCTGGACCAAAGGAAAAATATTGATATTTTCTAAAACAAAGTATATAACCAGTTTGATGGGGCTTAATTTAGAATTTGCAGGATTTGCTCGTGAGGTACATGTCAAACATGACCATTAGAAACCAAGATTGAAATGGTGTTGCCCTGTAGCTTTTTCTTTGCATAAAAATTGCCTTAAAGGAGTAATTCAGTGAGAAATGTGAATGGAGCTTATAGTAAGTGAAAGCCAGGGAGGACCAGTTAGCTATGATTAGCTTTCAGTAGCCATTAATAAACTCAGCATTTTGAGAGATGGATTAGATGGTTTAGGATTAGGAATAGATGTTTAGTTTGGTCTGCAACACTGCACAACACTGCAGTACTGCTGTAGGAGCTCTTGAATGGCTCTAATCTAAGTTCAATGCTGCTACAGTAAGAATTGATGTCACAGTACAGTGAGCGATTTGCATATGTTGTTGCTGTTATATCAAAACCTTTTAACCTTTAACCCATTACATTGTGTGAACATTTCACAGTGAATGGATAGAAATGGTACAAAATTATTTTGAGTTTTATTTTGTAATTTTAACAAACATTAAAGTTAGTGCTGGCAGGCATTAAAAGTTCAATATCATGATATTTTCCTGATATATCACAGTTTTATGGTATCTGATGGTTCTTGAGGTTGCATTAATAAAGTAAATGAGTAAATAAAGTGTTGGTAGTTTATTCTAAAGGAGTGCATTGCAACTCTGACGTAGCTTGCTTTGAATGGCCTATTTTGTTCTGCTCCTCTCAAAATTGCAACTAAGGATATTTTACACAGTGTATATTAATGACACAGAAAATAGATTTCCAGAAAGGGAACAAAATTTTTTTTAGCCATGTATTTTGAACAGTTCTTTGAAAACAACCCAAAGCACCCAACCAAAGAAATACTTTAAATAGTTTACTGAGTTTCTATTACATATCAGGACGTTTTAAAACTGAAAGTGTTACACAACACTGACACACCATTATATTTGTATGTGTATATATTATCGTATGCAAAAGTTTGAAAAACTTTGGTCACATTACATGTTTAGTTAGAATGCTTAAATATGGAGGAAATATTAGGAGGAAAAAACATAATTATAAATATTAAATGTGCCTCAACTTTTGCACAGGCAGTATTTTATGTTTTTTTTTCCCCCAGTATGTTAAACTCAGCAAATAGGGACTGATTGTGAGAAGTGTGTTCTCTGTAGAGGATGTGTACTTGACAACAGGTAATTTGACCAGGGGCACCCAAACCTTTACTTTTGACTGTATTTTTATTACATGTAAATTAAGGATATATTTTTTCTTTCTCCGATATTTTACGAGATAGTTTACAAAGTTTTGTTACAATAGCATCAAAACATGTTTAAATATATTTCTTTTAGGTCAGCACCGCTTTCTGGGCTGCGGTATCTCTCAGGTCAGAAGTCTGAAATTGGACAGCACCATCTGGACCAACGAACTGGTGGAGGTAACTGCTGCATTTGCCATAACTGATTTTCAGTCAGATACAGATGATTTGGACAAACCGCTGATGTATCTGATCTTCTCCTTTAATGTTAAGCTGTTTTTAGCTGTTGGAAATGAGAATGCCAACAGCTTTTGGGCTGCGAATCTTCCACCGGAGGAGGAGCTTCACATGGGGGCAACACCAGAGCAGCGTGCAACCTTTCACCGTAGGAAATACAGGGAGAGGAAGTACAGAAGAATTCTAAAGGGACTCTACAGCCAAGAGGAGCTAAACCAGGTGTGTGTTTGTATATATGTGTGTGTGTGTGTGTGTGTGTGTGTGTGTGCGCGCCTGTGTCTTCCATTTGTACTCTGTAGATGTGTTTATGGTGGCCTTTGACATTGTGTTATTTTTCCCCTGCCTTGTTAAAAGGCCCATTAGCACTGTGAGAGTGTGTGTGCGTGTATGTGTTTGCATGTGTGTGTGTTGCTGTCCCAGCCTACCTAGTAGCCCAGGTGTTAAATTGGGGTTGCCATGGTAACTGGTTACTACAGTCTTTTGGAATGTACAGACAAGGTTATCGCCAGAAAATATGCAACCTAAAATCTGGCTCCAAATGTTCTCATGTAAACAAGCCAGCCAAGTAATCAGTGCTTTGCACTCCCTCTATATCAAAGTAAAGTCTGCCATCACACACATCACTAGGCTTGTGCCAGCAGCAGAGTCCTTTTGCTTGGATAACTCTGTGGAAAATAACCAACTGTTAAACTCGGGTGAAGGTGTTGGGGGGGGTTCCTTTGTTTTATCTTTTTATCCAGTAATGTTATGACGGTCCCTTATACTTAAGCAGATGCTAAAGCAAGCGCAGTGATAGCGCGCGAGTTGAGGCTTAATCTTTTTCAAATAGAACATAATAAAAGTGCAGTTCAGTAAAAGCTAGGTTTGTAGTGTGAGCCATCTGTAATTTGGCCACTAAACTGTAATTAATCTCATAATAAAGAACACAATTGCAAATGTGACACAAATTCTCACTATCTGAGAGTTTGTTGCTGCTTAGTTAAGCCTGATGCCTTTTTCCTGAGACCTGAAGAAATTTTGTCTGTAGTTTGAAACCTTTAAATGTATGTCATTCCATTGATGGCTTTATGTAGGCATGAAATCTGCCTGCTGTGTTTAACCAGTGCAACCCAGAACAATCACATCTATGTTTGGTACGATAAATTGGGTATTAATGTAGGATATCACTTCAGTCAACATGTTTAAAATTTCAGTTTTCTGTACATGTGAGAATCTTAGTGTCTCACTATGAGTTAATAAATGAATGATAGTTTAAAAAAATCTATAAACAAGTTTTTACCATCTTTGTGTACTGTGCCATGGTGACTCTGTGAACCGTCAGTGGGCATAGGCCTCGTATATCTAGGATCTCAAATGACAAGTATTGTTTCTCTTTGCCTTTGCTGTGTGTGTGTGTGTGTGTGTGTGTGTGTGTGTGTGTGTGTGTGTGTGTGTGTGTGTTTTGGCTGGCTGTGCTGAGTTTGTCCTGGGTAACCTCTCTCTCTAAGTGTTGAAGAAGCTGTTTTCTTCATTGTCAGCACAAACTCAGATCGACACTGCTTTTGTTTCGAGAGAGAGTGAGATAGAGAAAAGTAGATTATATGTATGGGTGTGTACAAGTGTGATGAGTGTGTGAGATGAAAGTGTTACAGAAGTTTCTGATGGTGCTGTTATAGAAAGTTGTATGCAGAGGTGAAGCCTGCTTGTGTGAGAAAGAGAGCAAGCAAAAGAAAGTGAGATAAGAGAACAAAATACATTCTCTGGTCTTCGTGTGATTTTATATATATATATATATATATATAATATATGTGTGTATATGTGTGTGTATATATATAATAATATATATATATATATATATATATATATATATATATATAGATATAATTGTAACAGGTCTAATTGTACCCAATTGTACTGTGATTTTGAGGAATAAAGCAGCTGTTGTTATGGAGTGTCAGGATATGCGGTCATATAGGTCCCATATCGTCTCTGCCAGACAAAAACCTTTTGCCACGTCATTTTGGGCCATTTTTCTCTCTCTCTCTCTCTCTCGCGCTCTCTCTCTCTCTCTCTCTCTCTCTCTCTCTCTCTCTCTCTCTCTCTCTCTCTCTCTCTCTCCCCCCATATATAGATATAATTGTAACAGGTCTAATTGTACCCAGTTGTACTGTGATTTTGAGGAATAAAGCAGCTGTTGTTATGAAGTGTCAGGATATGCGGTCATATAGGTCCCATATCGTCTCTGCCAAACCAAAAACCTATCTCCAAAATGGTACAGGAGAAGGAAAAAAACTTTTATCTACGCCAAACCGATCAGTGTATCTCAGAATTAGATACATAGAATTTTTAGCATTTTTATCATACAGCATATATAAAATTGGTCTGACTCCTGACCCCACAATTCAACCATACTGAACCTGAAAATATGTGCACCGTTATGCCCCTAGCGTGCATGCCTGCAAACATATTAAAATTAACATATGAACACAAGGTACATGTTCAAGCACTCCTTATTTTTGCTGTAACAGCTGTAATATATAATTGCTCCTTTCATTAAAAAAACAACGAGCTGTAAAAAAGCACTGTAAAAAGCACAGTCAAGAAAAAAGTTAGCTCTGTTTTTCTCTAGCTTCCTACAAAATCTATACACTTCACCTTTTATAAATGAAGTGCTTCAATTCATTCCCTTTTTAAGCTTAGTAGCTTTTAAAGAAGAAATATTGTATTTGAATTGATTGATATCAGTGTCAGAATCAGAAAAAAATAGCCATTGTACCATCTCTAATGGGTATAATAAAGGTGGGTAGTATGACTATGTCATCATTATCATGCTAAATTTTGTTATCATGATGAACAGTATGCTTTTCTCTGCATATTGTTTATATTGTCTGCATTTAAAGAACACTGGGAAACTGCATATTTTATTTCAAAGAGAACATAATTAGTACTGTTAAATTGGATTTAGTACAGCGCTGTATGTCAAACGTTTAATAAAAGTCATTGTACTCAGTTTTTTTTGGGGGGGGGGGCATGTCACTGAAACACACAGGTTGAGGTGAAAAGAAAAAAGTCTATGAAGAGTTATAGGATTTTTATTTAAAAAATAATCTAACATTATAATAAAGTCTTTATCAACCATTATATCTCCCACTCAGTGTGCATTACAGTGTGTCTCACTACATAATCTGATTGGTCACTACTTAGCTCATTTGCAAGTTTGTCTAGAACGAGAGAGCAGATTGATGTGCATTAGTGGTTTAATGTCCTTTATATGTGTAAATTGTTGGCTCTTGCCTTGTTATAGGGCTGTCTGAGACATTATGATGTAAATAAGCCAAAATAAATCAGATGAAAACAAGGCAGTTCATTTTGCATGATGTCATTGTTCACTCACATATATGCGACTTAAAACACCTTCTCATGTCTCTGCATGAAAATGTTTTTGAATATCGTGAAATGATATTTTGGTATATCGCCCACCCTTTGGGTATGAGACTGTGAGTATGTGGTTGAAAAACTCTGAAAATGAAATCGTAGGTCATTCCTGTGAGCGTGTGTTTATGTATTGTTATTGTGAGAGTAAATATGAAGGCCGTTGTAGGAATCGGCTGGCTGGTAACCCTTAAGTTATGTAAGGTTGCATAAAAAGCGTGTGTGTCATTGTCTGTGTTTGTGCGTGCGGCTGTCTGTCTGGAAGTCCTTGTTCTTCTCCGGATTAGGCCTGTTTGAGGTGGATCGATAGGGTACGCGAGCTGCAGCTTTTCACATGAAAGGCAGCATTACAGCAGCTCTCTCTCAGTCTGCGTCTGGAGCCATCTGCACTCTTCTGTTTATCGACTGCCTCCTTTCCCATCACATTTTAATTGGACTGCCTGCATTCTTCCTGCGGATGCCCTATTTCCTTTCAAACGCTATCCTAAACTATTATTTTAAGTATCTATGCCAGGAAAATCAGTCTCTTTCAGGTGGGCAACACAGTTTTAAATGCTTCGAGTGAATTCCTGAGCACTCTACCAAGCGTCACTAGAACAGATGCACTTTTGTAAAGTCAGATCAGGTGATCTTTATTTATGAAGCACATTTAAATAATGCCCAAAATGCTACACAATAAAATCAAATCATTTTAAATGAAAATAAGAACAGAAAAAGAATGAAACAATGCAAATGCAGTCAACAATGTTGCCATAGACAGGGTGGTATATGAACACCTCTCTAAAGCATTTTACCAAGAGATTACTCAGCTAGCTTTTTTGGTGTAGCACTGCAAAACTTAAGGTTTTATCAGAAATTGTTGGTGGGCATGTTGTTTTTTTGTTTGTTTGTTTGTTTTTTGTTTTGGTATTTTACATATTTGTACCCATCCAAAATTAGGTGTCACCAAACCGAATATTTGATAAGGATGTTTTAATAGTCAGTTTTAAATAATTTAACATATATCAGGCTTTATGTTAAGGTAAATATTTGTGATCGTATTAGTCACAGTTCTATATTGGGAATAATGTCATACCCCACGCAATGTTATTGCCCTGCTGTGATGTCAGCACTCATCAGCACTAAACTCTTTCAGCTGTTTGAACCACCTTTGGGGTAAAAGATTTTCCATATGTGCTTTAACAGGAGTTAACAGGAGGAAAAGAAATCATTGTTTAGGAAAAACCTGTTCTCCACACTAAGGAATACACTTTGATTAACATGAAGCTGAACATTACAAAATATACCCAAAGTATTAATGAATAGTTGTTATCAAACCTTTTGCTTGTAGTTTTTAGTGAAATTGCATTGACTATGATGATCATTCATTGTTTATAGTATTCGAAAAGAAGGCAAGGCGTTCTTAAATTTAAAATACGTGTGTACACATTTTTGCATGTTTGTTCATCATCCATTCTACAACACAGTCTGATTTGTTGAGAAGGGGTTTTCACATTAACTGTCATTGTGCTGAGCATCGGCTGCTAAGTAATGACTGATTTAACTCTGCATCTATTGGTTACTATGATTTTATACACTGTAACTACATTTCATACCACACAAAAAAACGTAGATTTGATATATAATTTCTGCAAGATACTATTTGACCTGCAGCCTGTTTGGTCAGATTCTGAAGAAGAGTGAGACTGCAGGCCTACATCAAATTCCGAACCCATCGTTGCCCTTAAGCAAGTTTTCCAGTCAGCAGCTGTGACGGTGGGACAAATAAACAAGCTGGAATTAGCCAGAAACAAGATGGGATGCAAAATGCTTTACAGACGAACTGGAACAAAACTACATTTAGGTTAATCTGGCAAGTATTTGAATTATTGTTGAAGCTGAGCTGAACCTGATATTGCAACAGTTTTATGGCTCTACGTGTACCACAGATGGATACTACTTTTTTGGCGGATGGAATTGCCAACAAAAAGGCACACTTGATAGGACATTTGACTTCTTTGTTTTTACTTTTTTCTTTAACACACTCCCTCTTGTGTTCTGTTTCTTAATTATTGTTCACTGCTTAATGATGTTGGTATTAAGTTGTGTATTCGTATCAAAACTTCTGTATGTGTGTCTACATGTATGTGTGTTTTGTATGTGTGTGTATGTGTGTGTGTTTAGGCTCTCTGCTCAGCGGTCCTCCAGTCCGATGTGTTGGTGACCATGGCCCTGGTGTTTAGCGGGGCAGATGTGATGTGTGCTACAGGCGACCCTGATTACTCCACTCCATATCTACTGGCTCAGAAAGCAGGACAGAGGCTACAGATGGAGTTCCTCTATCACAACCAGCTCTCAGGTGTGTGTTTGTGAGGGGATGTATTGTGCTTCTGGTAATGTTTTGGTAGCATATTCCCCCCTTAGAAAAGGCAAAAATAAAAAAGCAAATGATTGCTATTGTAATAGCATCCAGTGTTTGTGCAGAAGGTTATTGGTTTGGGTTGTGTGCCACAGGCCTTTGACTTATGCTGTGTTTCGAAGGCGAATGTGGGAGGTTCTGGCTTGACATTTCCAACTTTCGATCATTAAGCATCCCAGTGTCCACAGCACAAGATGATGTGTAAATAAAGACAAAGGCTAAACTTGAGAAGCTGATGTTTCAAAATCAGTACACACCTGTGTCTGTGAGGATAACACATTTATTATCATTGTCTTATGACAAGTTGCATTAATGGTGAGTTCAGTGTGTGGACTGATTACTGATTGGAACTTGGGTGGAACATCATGTGGAGTTTCCGAGATATTTGGAATGCAGAACTGCTTAAAGGCCTTATTTGCTCCATCCCTACCATTACTATCATTGGGACACACCAGTCATGAATTTTTATAACTGATTCCAGTTGTTTTACAGCCATGAATTTTTTTTTTTTAATTAAATCTGAAGCGCACATTATGTGGCCTAAATGAACACACGAAACACATTAGCACATTTCCAATACTTTCTGCTAACCAAAGTTGATATAAATATATTATGAATATAAAGAACAATATTGGCTTTTTAACAGGTCAGCTGGCGTTTTAAATTCTTAAATGAAATATCAGTTGTCTGTTTAGTATTGAAAGTAAGAGGCAAGTGGCTAGTCATGCATTCATAGGCTTCAACATTTTGGTGTCACAGCAGCATTCAAATACAATGCACAGAGTGCACTTAACTGCCTCACATTATTTACTTCGAAATTACAAATTGCAACACAGATTGCCCAAAATCAACATAGCAAAAGTAGCAATAGCAAAAATAGCAATAGCAAAAATTCTGTTTGCGCACCCCTCTGCCATAATGCCTCTGGTGAGAAAGGTGTGTAAACCTAATAAGGGTTTGGATGACTTTTTCTGAGACCTCTTTCTATAATGCTGTATTGCCCAACTTTATCCTCTGTACTCAGTATGTCCAGTAATGCACTCAGGCACTGTCAGCAATTTTTGCTGTAAAGCCTCATTTTACTTATTCCCATGTTGACTTGAGACTTGAAACTCCAGCCCTACATATGTACAATTAGTTTTCTTGGACATAATGTGATTTATGTTCTTAAGCACTAACTTGAGGAGTCTGTGAACAAGGCCAGGTTTCTCTGGGACCCTGATTGGGCTAATTTATTCACAGCATCTGCCCTGATTGGTTGGTTCTGTTACCGTTAATGGTTCTAATTGGCGTTCAGGGTCACCTGGTTGTCATAGAGACAGGCTTTTGTCACAGGATGACAGCAACACCCCCTGCCCCGCACCCTCCACCCACACACCCTCTACTTGAGAGATCATTTCCTCCAAAAGTATCTCTAATTAGTGTGTGTGCGCGCGCGTGAACTTGATTGGATTGAGCTGTTCCTACACTGCTCATTTGAGGCCTCTTCAGGAAGTGTGCCAGCTAGCCCAATTAGTCCACCCTCACCAAACACAGCCCCAAATGTTTTCCACTGCTCTGTCAACATTGTGATAACCTCCCTAACAGTGGAACAGCACTGGGGCGACACAGGGACCACCTTTGTGTCCATATGGAGCTGCGGCCTCATTAACTGAATCATGTAGATGTTTGTGTGGACCTTGCTTGCATAACAGAGTGGTGTTGTAACAGGTGGTTAGGCACATACTCATGTGACCATGCATAGACATGCATTTATTTTGCTTTGAATTGTTAGTAGAAACTAGAGATGTGCCTGCTGTGGAATTTTGATGTTCAAGTATTCGTTAATGAATAGATATTCAAGATAAACACGATAAACTGATGCACTGATGCTAGCTAAAAAATTGAGAAATTAGCAGCTTACATAGGTGTGCATTTAAAGCATGTCTTATATTCAAAATTAGCCAAATGAAAATCTTTCAGTCACTACACTCGAGTAACAGAGACTACCTTGAGTGAGGTATTGAGCTAGCACTGATACCGGAATGAGCCAGTGTAGTAATAGATGGTGAATACACATCCTTTACATAGTTTTCTTCTTTTGGAATTTTCTTTTCAGTAAATAATTATAATAATAACATATTTACTCATAGCACATAAATAATATATTAACATATATAAATAAATAACATATTTTATTTATAACTCTTCTCATACTGGTGGCAGTTCAAAGTGCTTTACCCACAGGTGCAAAAGCTTAACAGTAATAGAATAAACTGTGAGTATTAATTTAAACAATGACACAGATCAAAATGTCACATGTTAGTTTGTTGAGGTAACATTGAGAACATTGAAATATCCTTTATCATTTTGGTTCTATTTAATTCTAGCTAGATTAATTAGCCTAGTAGGAGCCACACTATTCTCGCTAGCCAATTTTCTGCCTGTTGCTAGAGAATCTGGTGCATTTCATCCCTTAATGTGAGGAAGAACCACTGGCAGTTTGACTGACCAAACCAACCACTTTAAACAGATACAAATCCAATTGTTCAAATCCCTTCAGGAGGTGGTCTGAGACATATTTGAACCATGTTATAGCCATGTAAACACATCCGTTTCTCCAAGACACATTTGACAACAAACCCCCTCCTAGTACCACTGAAACGCCTCCCCATACAGTACATCATTGGGCACATGATCTGCGTCTGCAAGGAAGATCATCACATCGAATTAAATGAAATGCTTAACAGTAATATGGACAGACACTACTGTGCAAAACAAGCTGCAAATGAAGAGGCTGAATGGATAAACAATTGGTAATTGGTTGCCGCGTAACGAGCAAATTTGCATATTCCGTCCCACAGAGCAATCGACTTTCAGTCTGACTGAGACGCATTTAACTACCAAGTGTATCCAGGCCAGATACTAGTCACATGAAGTGATCAGGTGTAAATGGAGTTCAGCTGATAAAATCCCGATAGTTGAGGCCAGCTTAATGTGCTAAAGATACAAGTACATGTAGGTGGAGCATCTTAGACTAACACAACAGCTGCCCTAGCTCTGCCTTCCCAATCATATCCTTAACAAGGCATGCTTGGCAACGCTCATGTTAAGACTAGTGGATATACAAAGATATATTGTATTATACTTTGCCCTTTACATCACTGTTATAACGTAACACTGTTTCACTAATTGTCAGCCTGTATATGATAACACTTTAGGTGTTATCAGTGCTCATAAGGCTACATGACTCCTACATACCTGTCTGTCATAATTTCACCTCAGTATTGTCTTCCTATATTTATTTCCAGCTAAAAAAATGATTGAGTACATTTGAATATGCTTATTTAAATGCTAAATATGCATGCAAGGCTGAGTAGTGAGACCTCCAAGTTAGAGTTCTAGTCATTCTACCTCATTATGGTTTCTAATCCCCCTCTTTTTAACGAAGAGAGAGAGGTTGGAGGCTGGAGGGGAGAGGATGGAGAGATCCTTCAATTAAAAAGGTTTTTCAATTAAAGTTATTTGAACTTGCGCCATGAAAGGGGGCTGGAGGTGCTTGATAAAATCTCGCAGGTATTGCCGGCCCTCCCGAAGAAAATTGAACCTGTGCATAGCAGCTAATTGAATCCGAAACCGATAAGGTTGAACACTGAAAAGATGTTAAAAGCGAAGGATGTGAGAGGAGGGTGGAGAGGAAGGGGTAAAGGAGGAGGAAGAGAGAAACGGGGAGGTTTCCAATTTTCACCCTTTAAGTTTTCTGTGCGTTGAAAAGTTTTGCAGGTGTCCTTGCTGAGTAACCTTGCGAGAGGAAGAATAAATATGTGCATTAGGAATGTGTAAATGAAAAGAAGGAAAAGGAATCCAAGCACCTGGAGGACGTTTGCTGGTTATCTGGAAACTTCTGGGCCAATCCTGTCTTCCTCAGGTTGACTTTGTAGTTTTTTTGGTCTGTGTGCTCTAAACAGGGACAGGGGAGAATAATGAACTGGCTTGGAAACGGCTCGTTGATAATGGGATTGTGCTGTATACTGCACAAACAGAGATACAGCTCCCAACACTTTATTGGATTATTCCTAATCAGTGCTTTCTTATTCTCTATCTCCCTCTCTCTTTCTCCCTGTCAGAATTTGCAAAGCTGGAGATGGTGGGTGACAGTAGTTTTCCAGTAGATGCTTCCTCTTTCATGGATGGGTTTCTGTACTGTTCAGTCAACATGCTCAAGAGCACCTTGGACAGAAAAGGAAGAGATGGTGAGTTTGTGAGTCTATCCATTCAGACATCTAAATCATATTCAAGCTGTTGGGCATGCATTGATGCTGTTAAGTATACTCATCTATTGGGCATTTACATTGAGCACAAAAAAAAGAGAGTCCATGAGTCTATCCATCTGTGCTATCCATCATAGGCTTGTACTAGATGCGGGTAATATGGTGATGTGTTGTAAATACAGTCAGGCCCATGAATATTTAGACATTGACAAAGTTATTATTATATTAGTGGTCTACCGCTGCATATTGGTATTGGTGAAACTAAATACTGAGTATGAGTTCAAAGTGCAGACTTTACATCCAAATTGGATGAACAGTGTAGAAATTACATCCATTTTCATATATAGCCTCCCATATTTATGCTTGATTAGATTGAGGTCAGGTGACTGACTTGGTCATTGCAGAAAATCCCACTTCTTTGTCTTTAAGTCTTGGGTTGCTTGGATATGCTTTGGGTCATTGTCAATCTACCGTGGCTGACCAATGAGTTTTGAAGCGTTTGGGTGAGTCTGAACTGGTAATATGGCCCTGTACAGTACATCTTGTTGCTTTTGTCTGTTGTCACATCATCAATAAATACAAGGGAACCAGTTCCCTTGGTTAGGTTTAGGATTAGGCTTAGAAAATTCTGAATACATATAAATAGTTACATATGTGTATAATGTGCATGTGTATGATAAAAGTAATACGTAAATGCAACAATATTTTATTCTAAGCTATTTTGAAGTGTTTCCATTGGTTCAGTCATCATGAATTGCTCACACAATGTAAAGGACAGCTGCTGTGCTCAAATGATGTCCAAATGATGTGAGTCTGAACTGGTAATATGGCCCTGTACAGTACATCTTGTTGCTTTTGTCTGTTGTCACATCATCAATAAATACAAGGGAACCAGTTCCATTGGCAGCCACACCTGCCCATGTCATAACACCATCTCCAACAAGCTCGACAGATGAGGTGGTATACATTGGAATATGAGCATTTCCTTCTCTTCTCTATTCTCTTCCCTTTCCATCATTCTGGTAGAAGTTGATCTTTGTTTCATCAATTCTGGAACTGGTTTTGGCCATTTCTAATCTGATCTTCCTGTTTTTGAGGCTTACCTATGGTTTATATTTTGGTAATTTAGGTATTTTATGGTAAACCCTCTGTATTTGCTCTGGTGAAGTCTTCTCTTGATTGTTGACATTGACACAGATACACGTACCTCCTGGAGGGTGTTCTTGATCTTGCCAACTGTTGTTTAGGGATTTTTCTTCACCAGAGAAAGAATTCTTCTGTCATCCACCACAGTTGTTTTCAGTGGTCTTCTGGATGTTTTTCTGAACTCACTAGTGTGTTCTTTCTTTTTAAGAATGTACCAAGTAGTTGGTTTACAAGTCATATACATACATGACATACACTTCATATGACTTCATTAGTATATTAGGGTAATGTCAGTAGCTCTGGAACACTGAACAGCTGCTTGTATAACAGTAAGATAGAGAGACTGTAAACCATAATCAGTGTTGTGTTATTTCATTAACTGCATAGTAGTAGGTAGCTATTGGAATGCGTTTTTCTTATTTTATTAGTTTATTTTGTACCAGTTGTTTGATCTTCCCTCCTGCTCCTCCTTAAATAGCCTACTTTTATTTATTTTTTATATAAAATTTAGTCTTTTTCAAAAAATCTTCAAAAAATGGAATATTGTGATTTATATTATGCATTGTGCACCCATTCATATAATATATAACCTTTCCACTTTCATCTTAAAGCACTTTTTTTTTTCTCTGTTTATCTAGACAGGTATGCATTATCTGGTCACTAATCATCTGCTCTGTTTACTCTTTCATTTCTCTGGTTGGAAATAACCTGTAAGAATGCTTTGGTAGCATTGGCATCTGGTGAACAATGTACAATGTGCACCTGTACACAAACACCCTCCCTCCCACAATATCCCCATAAAGGTTTTACTCTTCAGAGAGCTTTTAAAACTTTTAATCTGTACTTTCTTCTCCTCATTCTCTCTGTTGCACCTACTGTGCTCCTCTCCAACATCTGGAGTGGGCATCTGGGCCTGCTGGTAATTAGAGATGGGGGAAGCTCTCCCCAGGGAGGAGGGCGAAGGAAGGACCCCATACCTAGCTACCTGCACTCATGATGGGCTAGCAGGAGCAGCTGGAGTCCTCCCAGTCCTCAGGAGGGGGTCTCTTCCTCTGCATTCTTCTTTTTCACTTCCCCAGAGGAATCTTTATTGCTACAGCATCCTGCCTGCTCTTCCTTGGTCGTGTGTGTTTCAAACTTTTTCAGGACAGAGATGTCCTCCCTTTGTAGGAAAGCCACAGAAAAATATACAGATACAAAATGGCCCTGACTTTGTAGAGTGTTTTATAAAGAGCAGCATGTTTCATTGTTTAAAACTAAAAGGGCAAAAGCATTTCTTTTCTATTACTGGAGGAGAGGTTAGGTTTAGGATTAGGCTTAGAAAATTCTGAATACATATAAATAGTTACATATGTGTATAATGTGCATGTGTATGATAAAGTAATATGTAAATGCAACAATATTTTATTCTAAGCTATTTTGAAGTGTTTCCATTGGTTCAGTCATCATGAATTGCTCACACAATGTAAAGGACAGCTGCTGTGCTCAAATGATGTCCAAAAAAATGGAGATACATGTTTTTGATATAACAGCAGCAATATATAATACATATCAAAACTAGGACTGTCAGACGATAAAAATAAATATTTGTCTTATTTACTCACATCTGATCCTAAAGAAAGTTGTTTATTTTTCATTTAAAAAGCAGTGTATATTAAAAAACGGGAATTCATGTAAATGCAGGGTGAACAAAAGAGAATATGATGAACACAGTGAAATTTACATCAGAGAGAGGAATATTGGCTGCATGTTCTAGTAACTGGAAATAACTTTCCATTTAAAAGCTGCATTTGAATGAGAGGCCTACAGTCATGGAGGCATAGCAACATACAGTGCCTAGCAGTTGGGCTTCAGCCTGCACTTTTACAGATGGTGGAAACCAGGAAGATGAATTAACAGTGTCAAAAGAATTAATGTTGTTGATCATTTATCGTGTTAACCTTTTAACACATTAACACCATTAATTCTTACATGTAATGTGTGTGTGTGTGTGTGTGTGTGTGTGTGTGTGTATGTATATATGTGTATATATGTATGTAATGTGTGTGTGTGTGTGTGTATATACACACACATTACATACATACATACACACACACACACACACACACACACACACATATATATACACACATATGTATAGTATGTATAGTGGTACGTATAGTAGTTACATATACATATGGACATGTTACATATAGTTAGTGTATGTATCGGTGCTATTGGGACAAAACATTGTATCTCCATTTTTACCGTTTTTCATTTTTTAATATAATTTGAAAAGGCCAGTTACCCAATATGATGTCAAAATTTTATGATGAACAGGCCGACAGAAATGGTCCACTTATTTGGAAAAATTATTTATCCATTTACTTCCATTAAAAGTTAAAAACATTTTTCCTTGTCCTGTAAAGTTAACTTGTTGGAGGTAACATATAATACATATAGACATACTATTACATGTAGGTAGTCACAGTACTGTGCAAAAGTCTTAGGCCCCTAAGCACATTGTTTAAAAATATTTATCTAGGCAGTAAGTTTGTGCTTGTAAACGCTGCACATATCATTAGAATATGTGCAACTTAACATATAAGATAACTGATATCTTGTGAGTTTGAATAACAAAGTTTGGTTCCAGATGTCTCCTGGAAGTCACCAGCTACCACACAAATTTATTAAATTAGAAATCTCCAGCACAGTTGATTTAACGTAACGAAGCACTGATTAGCCAGACCAGGTATTAGATGATAACTACAACAGATAATACTGGATCTTCTTGAGGAGAGCTGTGGTAATGGTTAAACGGACACATTGACATATGTAAAACCACTGTGCTCATTATATTGAGTTTTTTGTACATATGTATGTGTGTGTATATATATGTATAGACTTACATATGGTAGTCACATATATAATACATATGAAGGTGTTTTTCAGCTGTTTGAAGCCATCAATGCTGAGTGGAAAATACTGACTATTCTTTATGTAAAAGATTGTCTGCAAAATTACACACAAAACCAACATTTAAAGAAAGGGAAAAGCTATCCTGTATTAAGTTACTTTATCTGTGTTTTTAATGATTTGTTCTTAAGACACACACATTATCTATGCCGCTTATCCTCCTGGGTCATGGGAGGTGCTGGAGCCTATCCCAGCAGTCAGGCAGGAAACACCCTGGATAGGTCGCCAGTCCATCACGGGGCAGACACACAGACATATACATTCTCACCCAAACACACACTCGCACCTAGCGGCAATTTTGCAGCTCCAGCTGGCCTGACTGCATGTCTTTGGACTGTGGGAGGAAACCGGAGTACCTAGAGGAAACCCACACAGACACAGGAAGAACATGCAAACTCAACACAGAAAGGACCCTGGTCGCCCAACTGGAGGATCAAGCCGAGGCCCTTTTTACTGTGAGGTGACAGCGCTACCCACTGTGGCATTTTGGCAAAAAATTTGGCCATTTTTTTTTTATTTATTAATTTATTTATTTTGCCCAGGAGTGTGTGTGTGTGTGTGTGTGTGTGTGTGTGTGTGTGTGTGTGTGTGTGTGTGTAAATTAAAATGATTATTACAGTTACACTGCAAGTTGGAAAATAGGCTGGACCTCAGTTTGTCCTAAAAGAAAAGTCCTTGTCCTAAGAGAAAAGTTCTTAATAAGAATGTATATTCCACATAAAATATTAAAGAGGGACTTGGGTCCTGTTACTTTGAAGCCTTATATTGTTAGCAGTAAGTGTTGTCAAGGAGCAGTGTGAATGAACGCATAAAGCTTTTGTTTTGGAACAAGAGACTTTTCAACCAGTACTTGCATCATGTGCTGCAGAGAAAGTGTTGTA